TATCTCATTTAAGTCGCTGTAATTTTATAAAGTAGGTACATATTATATTATATACATATGATATTATTATTGTATTATATTACTTTATACATATTGACATGCGAATAAAATATTATTATTATTATTACATAAAACGAAACAAAAAAAAGAACCAACTTCATGAGAGCAATTTCCNTCAGTGGCCAACGAGTGGATGACATTCCGCTGAAGTGATCCAACACCGATTTTATTTTTGTCATCGTCTCCGTCCTCTTCCGGTACATCTTCATCGATACGCACCTTCTTTATCGAATCATCTACAGTTCGGTATCATTTTAGTTGCAGTTTATTGAATGTCTTTAAAAATGAGGCGACTATTTTTCACAACACACAATCCTTATCATTCCTATCAAGGTCTAAATCGAACAAAAGAAGAATGAAAATGACGAAACGATTCCAGGCTGTTCCAAGTAAAACGTTTCGACCATGTTGAAAAATTCGCAACAAAACCGACCATCTAAATCTTTGTCGGTATGCCTCTTCAAATTAACCGCATCAGCTTCGCCAGCGGCCATCCGAGCTAAGAACGCATCCGCATTACTACGACATTCTTCTTGTCTTTTACGTTCCACCTGAAAATTCAAACAAACAAAATCTGATGCAACCAAACTGGAAATCAAAACTATAATGGCTTAAGTGATGAAATGCTTTCAAATCACACGTTTTAGAGTCATTTGCAATGCAGACAGCTACTTACAATATGAATCTATGTGAATCAAAATTTATTGCGAGAATCACTGTTTGCATTCAACTGACCTTTTGCATCAAATCCTCGCCATTTTTGCTACTAGCACCTTGATCTTTGTGGTGCTCACTTACATTTGCGCCAAATGCACCGAATAAATCGTCATCCATTTTCTCTGACACAACTGAAACTAGTTCGATCAGTTGGAATTTATTCAGTACGTCTTCATAGTGGTGCGTAGAGACAGTAGAAGAATCGTTCTTGAAATAAGACATGATTATGAAAGATTAAGTCAAAAACAATAATCAAACTGTTGCGTTTTTATGCTAGTTACTAGGATGTTTTCGAACCTTTTACGTTACAATTTATAATTGTGTAATGAGAAAAACGTGGAAAGAATAAATTTCAAAAATTCATCAATAGACTTAGCGGAAATTTAGTAACCAACTTTTTATGAAAATTTAACGAAGGAATAAAAAATTCAGAGATTATTCGCACCGTGTTCAAAATTGTTTTCCTTTTGAGACCCTTCTTTATGATAAAGAGAATTGCATTTGAACAAGTTAAAGCCCAATAAGTTTGCCTACTAGTATAAAATTATTAGTGATGGCATCTGACCGACGGTCGGTCTGGATTCCAGCTGTTGGAATGATGAGATTTCGAATCGGTCGGATTCTGGCCGACTTGGAATTTCGCTCGGATGCCATCATTAAAAATTATTACTGATGGTTGGATACGACGATGTAGGTTTGAATCTCGAACAAGAAAGGAATGGGAAATTATAACTAGTTCCCAACTTTGGAAGCATTTCATGGGAATGTGGCGATTGTTTACGTCGTAAGAGAATCACTCGGAATAAATAGAAACTGAAATCGTTGAGCGATATGGGAGAGTAACCCAAAACATGTTCACTCACCAAATCAAAATCAAAGTTGAAATTTCATAAAGGCAAATGATTCCCAGTGCTGTTATTGTTAGTTATGCAGAACGAAGGATGCCAGGGAAGGAAGAATGTGATATTGGTGATAACAGAGGAATTGTAATTGCTCATAAATAGATTAACAGAAACTGATCTGTTCGTATGCAATAATCTTTAATATTTTATGCATGCTTTTCGTTTTCTCTTCAGTTTATTTCACTCAGTCTACACCTGAGCTAAGGGATCCAGACTCCATAGCGATTCTTGAGAATGTTATTTTCAAGAAATCAATCGTTTTAAAAACGGAAACTTCAGACGGTGCACCGAGCAGGCACTTTGATAATCCGATAGTCGGTTTCAAACGGTTATTCCGTAGAAATGAACGGGTGAAAACGCGATCGAAAAATGCAGATTATAAGGTGGAAGTGATCGCTTATTCAAGAACCATTTTAAAAAATTCTAGTTTGGCTGAATGCGGCAATGCTGCTCTATTCCAAATGGTACGTTGTTATCAGCACGGATTATGACTGAAGATGGTAATCAAGCCTGCACTTCGTCTGTTACCATGTGAACATGTGTCAAATGAACGGCTATCTTTCAGTTTTACTTTACTATCTTTAATTTGCTTTACTGTAAAAAATTTCCAGTACATTCACTGTTGAAGTCAACTGGAAATTAATATCGCGAATGGCTCATAATTGGATGCAATGGATGAGCTGATATGGCTCGGAGTAATCTGATTATTCAAAGTGCCGGAATGAAGAGATGCACTCTTGATTGTTGTTTAGTTGTGAGCACTTGAGTGATGAGTTTATAGCTGTTTGTGGCTTGCGAGAATCTTTAATAAGTTGAACTCATGAACGCTGAACTCGATTAATATTTTATGCTTTTCGTTTTAATTCAGATACGCTTCAACACATTACATATTGTTTATTGGGTGAAATTGATGAATACTTTTTCTTGGAATTGAGATTATGATCGGTGTCTCGTTCTGTCTTTATTACATGTTATGCACCATACATCGCTCTGCTTCCGAATGTTTTCGGTGTGGAAAATTTCGTTGAAAATTTCATCCGTTTCCCTGAAATCAGTTTGGAAGCAATTCCCCGTCATGAGCACTGAACTAACGACAACCTCCGAAATTACGGAAAAGGATTGGAAAATTCTAACTAACGAAGAATAAAGCGATTTGCATCTAATCACGATAATATTTTTCAGTTTTCGTTTTCTTTTGTTGGAACGAAAATTTT